CGAATCTTTACCGACTGCACAGACAGCAGTGCACCATATCGCTTCAGCTGTACAGGAACAATATGTCATTCACATAACCCCTGGTTCTTTTAATATCAGTACACTCTGTGGCTGAAACTGAATATTGTGGTTTAGCACTCACATTTGATAGATCCATATTCTGAATCTCAACTGGGACACCAGCTATTACAAGTGAAGCATTTAATTGTCTCTAAGTTCCATCAGACAAATGCCAGAATACATAGTATGTATTTTGAGGGCAGTTTACAGATTTGATATGTTCTGCAAAGTCTGACATTTTTTTTAAATTTAATTTGGTGGTGAAGGGGATGAGTAGGTGATGAAGGAAACAATACTAATGGTAGAAGCACAGTTTATTTGTGAATTTCTATAATGCAATCTGTTAAGCCATCTTTCTAAACACCATCTAAACTTAAGTCTTGAATACAGTACTGTTTGAACAGTACATTCGAAAGGACCATAATTGCTTCCTGCCGCATGTTCACAGCTCATTCAAATCATCCTTACGTCAGCATTATATAACCTCTGTAGTTGATACAGCATCATTAAATAAGCCAAGAAATTCAACTTTAACTCACTCTCAAAGTAAGATTTCCGACAGTCCTCTTGAGGCATCCAACAGATGCTTTGTTCCGTTTTGTTCTGCTGTGAATCTTGCTGAACTCTAAACGTAGCTTCTCCTGACCCAGTATACGTGGTGTTGGTGTTCCAGCCATCAAGCAGGACCCTACACAAATTGCATCCATATTAATATTTTTTAATAACAGTCACAATAATATTGGCACTCCTCAGTTTAGTTTACCTGTCGTACAGTATGATGAATGAGCAGCAGAAGAAGCCAGACTGTGTTTCAAGAGTGGTACAATTTTCTCATCAAAATGTTCCATGGCCATAGATGAAATGTCTCTCAGTTCTTGTAAAATTTCATGAGTTCTAGGAGGAATTTCAGTGTCCTTAATGTTACGAAGAACTCGAAAAATCTCATCAATTACCTGTAAATATTACGTGACATGAAGAAAGCAAGAACTTATATGATCAAAAAGATTCACAAGATGTTACACATACTATTCTATAACAGATGACCTAAAAGCAAAAGAACATCAAGAGGGGAAATTCTCTAGTGCAAAGACTGGAAGAATAGAATGAAAAGTTATAATTTTACACGAGATTACATTATGAACTTATAATTTAAAATAGTATAAGAATACTTTATATTTACATCTATGTCCTCAGGGAAGGAATTCAAAATAAAAATAAAAAAATTCAGTGTGTCTGAAAAAAGATGTACATTAACTAACACCACACCGAAGTGTAACAAATTCATAAAAGAATACACATGAACAAATATGAAGCTATTTCATGTGTAATACTTTATCCAGTCTTTACTGCATAACACCAAATATAAAGCTTCCTAAGGAGCTGAATTTTTAGAAGAAACACAATTTAGAACATAAAGATATGAAGACTATCTGATGAAAAAATTACTATAAGAAAATTATGCAAACAGTAAATAGATTAGGATTTTAATAAATGAGCAATCAGAACAGATTTGAGGTTAAGAATGGTAGAAAGAACCCAGAAGACAGCCATCTTGAAATAAAAATTTCCTAGAATGGAAGAGACATCAAGTGAAGTTAAGATATGTGGTATCTCACCTTCCCTGGAATAAAACAACAGAGACTGGCATCAATATATTTAGTGAAGGTCATGGCCAGCATGGAGAGACGTGTTTCTATGGCTGTTAGTATATCGCAATGCCGTGCTAATGGGTGACTGCGCCTTTCTGATTCTCGGCGAGGAAGTTGTGATTTCACTGCCTTGAGACAATGTCCATGGTGTTTCATCACAAGGATAAATCCTTTATTTAACAGCTGTTTACACAAGGTGTCAAACTGTCTACATACCTAGAACAATCAGGCCACTGCATGTGAAAACAATTACAATATACAAAAAACTAATACAGCAATACAACCTGTATGTCATAATGCCATCAGAAACGTGCATCCTACTCAAACTTTCAATTGAAACAAGTAACAAAGTAAATGGCAGTTTAACGAATACAAAATCATATGACAAACTTTTGATATGAATTTCTCAACTGCACAGATTATGCAGTGTTCATGGCACAGTGCAAATGAAGTGACACCTGAAGATTTCTGTCTTCTGGGTTGTTGCGCTGTGCAGTCTGGTCGATGTTAACCAACGTTTCAGAGGTCATACTGCCTCTGTCATCAGGGTGATGTTCATGGCAGGAGGCAGTATGACCTCTGAAAGGTTGGTTAACATCGACCAGACTACACAGCGCAACAACCCAGAAGACAGAAATCTTCATACTCACCGCTGTGAAAACCTCAAATCTTACAAAGTGACACCTGCTTTAACCTTTATCTGTAAACACTAAACAGAAAATTCTTAATAAGGTTATCCAATAGGTTCCAATTAGGTGCTTCATAAATAAAAATCAGATACATTACTGCAGAACCAAATTGTGCAATGTATAAATTTAAATGAGTGTGGTTGCCCTTAAAATGAATCCTTAAAATAGGCATATACTAGCAATAGCATACCATATATTTATATAGTATGGCAAGGAGGTCTAAGTATTGTTCGGATTCATACAAAATTCTTATTTACATAAACATATCAAGCAGCATAAAAAAGCATGTAACAAACCCCTTCCCCATTCCATCTATTGCAGCGAATGGTGGAAGAGAGTGGGATAGAATGGGTGGTACAGTGTTCCCAAAAATTTTGCCACTTATGACAATGCATGCCCCAGTGATAACTTTTATTTCCATCGTCTTATTAGTAATTAAAGAGATAGACATACAAAATATTCGAAAATGTAAATTCAAACTACTGAATGGTAACTGCCGATTCTGTTACTACACCGATAAGGGTTATTTTTACACAGGGCACAAATCTTGGAATAAAATTCCACAATGAATGTAACCTATACAAACTTACAATTCTGTACTTAGCAATGTCATCATAAGTTAGGTACGACAATATCTTTTCCAGCACAATATCTGGTAAGATTAGGAGCTCCAACATTGTTCCAAAAATGTATTAAACCACTATATCACGGATATCAACAACAAGTTCGTAAGCAAAACTTTCATGCCTTACACATACAGCCTAGACAATTATCTGACGATCCTCTACAATTTGCACACCCACAGATCATTATAAAGATCACAACATATACAACACATAATACCAACGTACCAAACGTTCGCAAAACAAACACACTGATACCCACCAGGCTTAAAAATATCTTAAAATTTCTAACCATTTTAAAACGTTCTAACACATGAAATACAATTATTTATTAATACTGAGAAGAGATAATACGATCCCCAAAGCATTGACATAGAAACAGGGAATTAAAACTGATGATGGCCACATGGGACCGTAATTCAAGTAAATGAACAGAGTACAATGGGTGCGAAAAGTTCATTCAAGCCATATAAAATATGTTAGAATATTATTCATAGCATTATCCACAGATTTAACATCGGTAGTAGTATGAGATATTTGGTTTTAGTTAGAGTCAATAGATGACAGTCAGAATATCACATGAGTTTTAATAAAGTTAATCTTAGGCGTCTCTAATTTTACTCCTTGATTCTGAGGAGAATACTTATAGATGTAAGAGCTAAATGAGTATTGTTCTGCTTTCTGTTTATCGTTATCCATAAACATAACCGTGGAGCTCGGGGGCATTAGCAGCAACCCAGTCGGTATGACTTTTAATTTTTCCAATGCTTAAGAGATGACACAATGAATAATTTGCCAACGTCCTACATTTCTTTTCATGGATTGTGGAATAAACGAAAGTCGTACCTATTTATGTGTGACAATTATCTCTGTTTGCACACTTTCTGTGTTATTAAACTCTTTAGTATCCGTGATTCAGTATATGAGTAGTAAATATGGCGGCTGTTGAAGCAGTTAGAGAGAAGTCTCTACTTGATTATAGAAAGAAACTCCTTGAACATAAGGAGATAGAGAGTCGATTGAAAGAAAGTATGTACAGTATGGAGCTGGTATTTTCTTGGAACAGTAATTAATTGGTCATTTATGCAAAGTTCGATATTATGAGAACGTTTATTATAATGCCGAATCATCCAAGTCTGTCATAAAAGTTATTTTTATAATACATTATTTGAATGAACCGTATAATTTAGATTCCGTTTGGTTTGATTACAGTGAGAGAGCAATTAAAAGAGTTAACCAAGCAGTATGACAAGTCAGAAAATGATTTGAAAGCTTTGCAGAGTGTTGGACAGGTTAGTATGTTGAAAACTTATTAGAGATCATTACTTGTAGTACATATTTAGTAGAACTCAGATTGATTCATTTCAATAACCCTGAAGACAGCAATCTATAGCTAACTTAATGCTTTCATGAGTGATAACTGGCTGTGGTTCCTGTGACTCCCAATTTCTTCTCTAACTAGTGTTGTAATAACTACATCTCTTCCAGATTGTTGGTGAGGTTCTGAAGCAGCTGACAGAGGAAAAGTGTTAGTATCATTCCATTATTATAGTTATTAAATGCATGTTGCTTTATGTGGGGTGATGCAGGATGGAAGAAACAGAAGTAATGTAGACAATTTCAGATTACCTTATTTTAAAATTAACATACATATTGCATCACAAACCACCCATACTGGCACTGTGATCATAATTTGATAAAAAGGACAGTATTATAGTGTAACTGTTCAGGTACCACCAAATTGCCACTTCCCTTGTCAGAAGTCTGAAGGTTTCATAGACGAGTGTTAGATACAAGTAACTGGGAAGGCCAGGAGAGGGATGAATTCCTAATTAGCATGTGCCTGTATACATAATAACACATGGTTTTATAATTATTCTGTAAATGGAAATAATAATGAAAAATAAATAAAGTAATTGGACAGATAATGAGATATAATGTACAGGGTATAACTTAAAGGTCCACTACAAGTGTAATGGTGATTTCTATACACCAAATCAATTAGTAACTTTGGTGTGAGCATGGGTTCAGAATAGCCTCCTTTCTGAGTTACTGCTTTGATGTCCATTAATGATGTTTGTTGGTGTTAAATAAATACTGTAGCCCTGTCATTGTTGAATACCAAGCCATGACAAATGTTTTGTGAATCTATATTCATTCCAAAAATGACAGACAAGCATCTCTTTTATGGCATGCAAGTAGCAACAGTAAGGAGGTCAGGTGCCTATATTAGCAAAGTTTTTAAAAATGGTAACTTCAGAATGGGAAGTTCGATCACTTGCAATAAAATTTGTGCTCTGAACAAGAGGGGACGCAATGGAAGTTTAATGCTGCATTGAAGATTACGGTTACGAATTCTAAAACCAATCATTTGAACTTATGTAGCAGAATGAGTCACTGTATTGTCAAGATATACCACAGTGTATAAATAGATTTTCTATTTACTGATTACAATGCGATTTCCTCAGCAGAAGGTAACCCGTGTAAGCTGGCATCTGCCTTGTCTGCGAATGCTTAAGTGTACCCATGAACATTGTAACTGTGCATGGCTTTGTGCCACAGAAATTCATTTTGTCTTGTCACATCTTCACATTCAGGATAGGTGGTGTCAGATTGTCTGTTTAGATTTTCTGTTGCTTTCATTAATGCCGTAGCTCATGTAATATTTATATTGTGACCTGGATTGTGTCACTGTGTAGTCAAGTTTGTTTATTGTTCCTTCTGCAGTTATTGTGAAAGCCACAAATGGACCTCGCTATGTGGTGGGATGCCGACGACAGCTGGATAAAGCTAAGCTGAAATCTGGAACAAGAGTTGCCTTGGATATGACAACTCTGACCATAATGAGATATCTTCCTCGAGAAGTAGATCCTTTGGTCTACAACATGTCACATGAGGATCCTGGTGATGTTTCATACTCTGCCATTGGAGGACTTAGTGAGCAGATCCGGGAGCTCAGAGAGGTGTGCATGTGAAAGTTATTGCTTTAAATTTTGAAGGTTATAGTATGTTGAACTTGCACAAGTATTAGGTATGTTAATTTCACTAAATTTTTGTTGGAATTAACAGAATTACTTACAAATAAAATGTATTGGTCTGTCATATTTATGCAGCGTTAACTTTGTAGTGGTAAGATTGATTATATCTGTCATCTGCAACATATCCAACGTTCTGAATTGCTCTTTCACAGTACTTTCTGGTTGTAGATGAAAATATCTTTCACATCAGCAATGTTGGGGAATATAAACAGTTGCAGTAGTAGTTTTATCTTCATACTTGATAATGCAACAAAACAAATCCAATCATTTTATGCATATTTTATAAAGGATCTTCAGGCTCTTTTGAATATTGTGACGCACCTACAGGTTTCATAAAATGCCAGGAATGTTTTCATCTTAATTACATATTATCTGACTTGCTTGTCATTGTTGTTGTTTATATTATTTTTGGGATTTTAATTTTTTTACATTTTTCTAGTAAAACATACTTTCATTGATTTCAGCATCCCTTGTTAACATATTTTTTACAGCAGTCCTATGGCCAGGCTTCTTTACAGGCTAGCATAATGTGGTTTAATCTAAAACCATTATGTTTTTATAACTTTGCAGTTTAACCCCAGCTATGTAGTCTATGTTTGTTATTGTTATTATTTAATTACTTTTAAGTTCATAAGTCCACTGTCCAGCTATGTGTATCTTGGCAGGCAGTTGAATCTTACTCTAACAAACTTGTTAAACCATCAGAATATAAGTTTCATTTATGACTTGCAGCTTAATCTGACATGGTGATAATATATTATTATATTATATATTTACTACATTTAGAACTTATTACTTAACAATAATATATATATAATTTATTTAAAATGGTAACATATTGTATGCTGCAGGTAATTGAGCTACCTTTGCTCAATCCTGAACTATTCCAGAGGGTGGGAATCACTCCACCCAAAGGCTGCTTGCTGTATGGCCCCCCTGGCACAGGCAAGACTCTTCTTGCGCGAGCTGTCGCCAGTCAGCTCGATGCCAATTTTCTCAAGGTATTTCTGTTTTAATCAACTAGTAGATCAGTTGTTTAGTAATATGCAGGTGGTTGCTAGATTTAGTGCTCATTTTGACAAGTAACATAATTGTCGTCACATGTACAGAGTGTCACCATGTCATTCTTATGTATGAGAAATGTTGTTCAATCCCTTTTGTTAGCCGTGTTATATACAGGTAACCTTCGATTTGTGCCGATTCAGAATAACGCCGCTTTTGAAACCAGCAAGTCAAAAAGTGAAAAAATATATTTTACTATTATTTATAACGTTTTGCAATATTTCTCGTACTCATTCTAATACTAAATCGTAATTCTTACATCGCTGATTTTTAATAGAAATTATAAATACAGTCACCTCTGCACTCATTGCTAAGTAGTTGCGAGATAATCTCCTAGAAATCCGCCAACATTGTGCAACAGTCACGTGAGCATTGGTCACTCTTCACAGTGAGTCATTTGCGTTCAGCCTGATAAGGGAGTAAGGAAAAATGCGCTCAGTTCGCAACTGTTTTATATTTATAAATTGTAGAAGAGCCTCCATGTCTGGTAAGAGAAGTGAATGTGTTGCATTAGAAGATAAGATGGACGTAATTCGTAGAATAGAAGGTGGTGATACCCGTTGTAATGTGTGCAGAAGTATGAAGCTGCCTCCTTCCACTGTGACTACCATAATGAAAAATTCATATAAAATAAAACAGTCAATGCAACAGGCTATGAGAGTAAGCGCAACGCAAGTGAGTCATAGAAGAAATAAACTTTTACAAAGAATGGAGAAATTACTGTTGCTATGGGTGGATGACATGAATCGAAAAAACCTTCCCTTGACTGAAATTTCCATCACGGATAAGGCGAAGTCAATTTTTGAGGAACTTAAGTCGTCAGTGTTTGGGTGCCGGGAACACATGTTATTGACTTCCCATTGATTTACATTATAAAAAGAGTTACAATTTACGCTGGTTCGTCCAGTAACGCATTCCCAGCGTAAATCGAGGGTTACCTGTGTTTCAATTCAATACCTTTTGTAATGCTCACAGTTCTGCCAAATTATTTTAATGTTACTGTTTTCTGCATTCAGGTGGTATCAAGTGCAATTGTGGACAAGTACATTGGAGAGAGTGCTCGTTTGATTCGTGAGATGTTTAATTATGCTCGTGACCACCAGCCATGTATCATCTTTATGGATGAGATTGATGCTATAGGTTTGTTTATCCAGTTTTTAAATGTGAAATTAAAGCCAACTTTCATCTTTATTTTTCCCTCAGGAAAGAAACACTTTTGTTAGTGACTACACATAGCACATCTGGGATTTTCTGTTTATGAGGTATTGGCCACTCTAACAAGACCCATCGTTCAGTGGACAAATGTGTTGTGTTTGTGGAATCACAGTTATGTCACCAAGTGAACATAGTGCTGAATGTCTAGCTATTCACTTTTCCTGCATTCCCGACTGTGTAACATGACAGATGCTAAACTGAAGAATGCCTGGTGATGGGTGACCAAAGTCTGGATGTACTTGATATATCACATGTCCTTTAAAGGTTGATTAAGACTTCATTATAAAAACATATTCCGTATTTTAAAATTAGCTAAATGTAATCAACTTGTAGCAATTTTAAGAACCTAAGTGGATTGAATTCAGAAAACTCAGACTTTGGTCTGTGCCAGCATATTTCTCAATGTGAATATTAGTCTTATCCATTCATTTCAAAGCAGTATGTACCAACTTTATTGTTAATTGTTCTACAGGTGGACGGCGATTCTCAGAGGGGACATCAGCTGACCGTGAGATTCAGCGCACTCTAATGGAATTATTGAATCAAATGGATGGCTTTGATTCATTAGGACAGGTAGCCATACTTTGCCTAGTGGAAATCTGAATTTGTATTTTAATGAATAAATAGGGTCTCTGAAAATTGGGCAATTGATGTTTTTATAATATCAAATTGTTATGCTAGTTGAAATGTAAAGTTAAAAAATCTTCATTTTTAAAATTGAGTGTTCTCTGATGCTGCTTGTTTTAAGGTAAAAATCATCATGGCAACAAACCGTCCAGACACACTGGATCCTGCATTGCTTCGGCCTGGCCGTCTAGATCGGAAAATTGAAATTCCTTTGCCCAATGAACAGGCACGTTTAGAAATCCTCAAGATTCATGCTGGACCCATTGCCAAGCATGGTGAAATTGGTATGTGCATATAATTTTTAGTTTTTCTTTATACAGTGAAAACCTCCTGAGAAACTGATTCTTCAAATAGTGGCAGTGGCTATATAAGAAACTTGTTGGTTGCTCTGTTGTTTTAAAATAATATACATGAATCTGAAGGAGTTGACCGGTATTGTAGGTCTCTGGTTCACATCAGCTGGATGAATTGTTTGTGGTCACAGTAAGAAGACATTATTATTTTGCTTCAAGGATATATACATAATTCCCAAAGCTATTGTTATTTTGTTCTGGATATGCCCCAAATCAAATATTGTCACTTACTGCCTTGTTATTTATTATATAATGCTTTTGTTGTATCAACTTTTGAGTATAATGTTACATAATTCATACTGGGTAAATAGAGAAGTAATGTCATAATTATACACTTATTCTGAATATAGCAGCAGTGAAATTACAAATTTTTCAATATTTTTAGAGTGCTAAAATTAAGGAGGATTAGTTGGGCAGGTCATATGGTATTCAAAGAACTGGTTCTTCAGATGCTTTTCATTTAAAATACTTTTGCTAGATTTATAGATGTATGTTACAGATTATGAAGCAGTGGTGAAGTTGTCTGATGGTTTTAATGGAGCAGATCTACGCAATGTTTGTACTGAAGCTGGTTTATTTGCAATACGTGCTGAGCGAGAGTATGTGATCCAGGAAGACTTCATGAAGGCAGTGCGCAAGGTTGCAGACAACAAGAAGCTCGAGTCAAAGTTGGATTACAAACCTGTATAATAGCTGCTACAGAAACCCTGCTGAAGATAAAGTGTATTGCCTTCCTCAGAGTTAAGAATAAAGCATCTTACGTATCACTTCAGATGCTTTGGTATACAGGTAGCCCTTGATTTATGCCGGGGATGTGTTCCTGGATGAACCGGTGTAATCGGAATCGGCGTAAATTGGAACGATTTTATAATGCAAATCAATAGGAAGTCAATGACATGCGTTCCCAGCACCCAAATATTGATGAGTAATATAAAGACATTACATTTAAAGCTCTGAAATAACATAAATAAAATAAAGGGAATTTAAAAAATATATTTTATACACTTACAATTGGCGATGGCGTGATGAAGCGGCATTAGTTCTCTGACGAAGTTCCTGGTTGAGGATCGTCAAGTTTTTTAAAGAAGGCATGTAGTGTGGACTGTCATGATTTCTTTTTTCTTTCTTTCAAAACTTCACAATAAGGCTTCAATTGCATCAGAGCAAACTCACATATGCAAAAGTTTGCATTCCACAAACAGCTTTTACCGATTCATCGATCTCATTGGAGCAAATTTGCGTTAACGAAACATACGTAATTGCAGAGATGACTGATTTATAATTTTTATTCAAAATCAGTGATGTAAGAATTACAATTTAGTATAAGCAGTACGAGAAACATTGCAAAACGTTATAAATAATAGTAAATATATATTTTTCACTTTTTGGTTTCAAAATCGGCGCAAATCGAGAGCTACCTGTATATATTTTGTCCCAATTTATTAGATTTAATGGTCTTGGGGTAAGAAACCAAACCAGATTCTGGATCCAGCTTGTTATGTGCTTAGAATGAAGCCATCACTCTTAAAGCATGTATGGAGAATGACAGATCACTGTGGTTCAGAGCTTATGTTAAGGCTGCATATACCATCTTCACATTGCTCCTGCCTCACCAAATGTTACGGAAAGAGCTGAATATCAAAGACAGTGAAAATACATAAGTTATAACAGTGCAAGGTCACGGTTTGGTATACCATTATAATTTCATTTTTAATTACTTTTGAGTCTATTGTTTAACCTTAATAGAATAAGCTGCTTGTCATTTTCCAATTTAGATTTCATTCTGAACCAATAAATCCTTTGTTGTACTACTTGGATGGAGGATAATTACAATCCAGTAATTTGATTTAAGGTCCATTTTATTTTCAAATATTGTGGCTTAGTGATTGTTCACTGAAATGCCCATGAATGTGTACTGCTGAAATTATATATTTTTGCATGCTTTTAGAAGTAGAGTACAAAGCTGATAAGTGCCATTGTGTGCTTAGAGCTTCTCCTCTGTACCTTTTATATACCTTTGTGATATAGTGCATAGCCACAGGAAGAATTACATCTTTTTTGGAAATACTTTATCTCACGCATAATTTAATCCATTGGGTTCAGTTACATTAAAATGAGTTGCTAATTCTGTGTTAAATCAAGCAGTAAATGTCAAGTCAGTGGCTGCTTGTGTCCTGTCCTGTCCTGCAAAAAGACTTCCATGTCATATGTGTAGCCAGTCGTAATGTAATTTGTAGATTTTTTATTCCGAAACGTTTGTGTTTCCTGGGGATATATTATTTAAAATTTACCTTCCCTTTGAAAAGTACCATGACATTAATCACAGAGAGATGTTCCAAAGGAGCATAATATTTTCAGTTGGCATCATTCAAAAAGTCAAAAACATAAGTTTCCATAGCCTGCCATAGGGCCATTTTTGTCAAGAACACTGTCATTGTTTGAAAAGTGTATGAATCAATGTAAAAGAACCTGTCATGATTCATTGTTGCACCATAAAAAGGTGTAACAAACTGTTCAATTATTGACCAGTAGTCTAAAAGGAAACATTTCAGCTTCAGTAATGTCAGGTAGTGGAGAAGGTCCATCATCAAGTGTGTTGTTCAAGTATTGGTGGTAATATCTGTTGGTCTCATAAACCAGCAGAGATAATGGATGCAAAATACTACATGAAAATGCTGTATGAAGGAAAGTCGTTGATATGGAATGCCATGTTCTGCATTTTACAAGAGAAGTGATAGACACACTTGTTAGCTGGTCTGTCACTTGTCCCCACTTGGACACCTCTTTGGATGCAACTGGGGTTGATATCATGGGTACCCTTGTTCATCTGGACTGTTCAGTCTACCATGTTTGGACACCCCTGTTTGGAGTTCAGGGTTCTGTCAGGTCATCTTCCACCTCATATGTTTCATCATATGCCTTAGAGTCTGTATTTAGAATATATTCGACGGCATCATTATGTTGTCATGTCAAGAGGAAAATGAAGTAGTACTTGTTTTAACACAATGCAGTATAAAATTATTTTTACATTATGTTAGGTGAATAATTAGTAATCTTTCCCTCTCAGCTATAAAAATTGCACAGTCAGTAGCATTCTGAATGAATGCTATCACAATAAAGGTCCGTGCTTCGCAGGGACCATTTAAAGGATATAAGGAGTTAAATGAGAACTACTTAGTTGAATATTACATTTTTTTATGTACAAAAAAGGATGAAAATGTAACAAGAATATGAGTACCACAGCCTTCTATTCTGCAAGTGTGTTTGAACATGAGGATGCAAGAATGCCTGATAATCTCTGCCTCTTCCGTTCTTGATAAATCTGGATGTTGTCAAATTTTCGCTTGTATAACAGTGGTAGAAGGATTGTTGGAGTAACACTTTGGAACAGATCCCACCTGCTGTTGACTTGCAACACAACTGACCTTTCTTTACAAGCCACAAACTGGCAAACCTTAAAGTCCCACATAAATACAGAAAGAGGCTCTGTATTAAATGGCCCTAAAATCCACAGTTCCCCTTGTGAGGTGAGCGAAATGTCCCATGGTTCTGCTTGCAGCTTCAGAATATGCATTAAGTTAGCAGTGATATTTTTTGAAATACTTTTCACTTGATACACAATGCATCCCTGTAATTTTGATATACAGGTGCAGATTAATGAAGTGGTGGTATCTATGCTGCAACCAACAAGTCTAACTGGCAGTACACATCCTCCATAACTTTTATTACTGTGTTCTACTATGTCTTTGTTTGCACACACAGAACCATTACAGTCAACCACATGCAGCTGAATACCAGCTTTATAATCCCAGAACCTTATAGTTCCATCTCCTGAACTAGAGATGAGAACAGTCTTATCAGCTGGAAGAAGAGACAGTCCTGTAATAAATTCCTTGTGGCCAAGACAATATGACTTAATATTGTACGTATTTGGGTATTGTGAAACCCTTATTTTTTCGTCACGGTCACATGTTATTATGTACTTCTCATCTGGTGAGACCAGAATGTCTAATAGCATTGATAAATGTCCCAGGAGTAATTGCCCATCCTCATAAGGTTTCTCAGCTGAGAAGCTATAAGCATCCCCAGATTTGTCTGCCAAAACAATGGCTCGACCCGATGGTACGAACCTAACCTTACTTGCAACACGGGCTAAGGTCCGATTACTTATTAGTGACAAATTATCTGTCTTCCACAAACTCAGATGTTTATCACTTGTACAGAGGGCAACATATTTTTCACAGCTTGAAATATCTGCTGCCACTATATGTACTTCAGCAGACGCAGTGCCTTCTTTGACTCCATCACAATTCGCATTTTCGTTTAAACACCTATTATTTACGTTCGAAATGTCCAATTGTTGGAAACGGCTGTCTCCTTCAACATTGAATTTAACTGCTTTTACGCCACATGTTATAAGTAAACTTGTTTTCTGTACCAAGAGCGTGGCCATTATGAAATTCACTTCCTTCGAAACCTCTTGCGTGTGCCTCACTTGTGGAAACTATGATATCCGACACTTCTCCAAACTCATGAAGCACACATACTCACAAAGAACCCAGAATGTCTCGTCTCGTAACCACATTTGTAAGTTTTCTAAGCTAAAAGAATTCTGAACGAAAATGTTTCTTGTACACAGATTAATAAATAATTCCAAATACTAACACGGATCAACGGCACTAATGTAGCGCCACTATTTATTTTATCTGATTGTTGCATTCTTGTGCGGTTTCTCGTTGATCAAGTGTAAATGCAAATCAGATACTCCTTACATTTAAACATTAATGACCCAGCCACACGCATTCATTATGCGAATGTTATGAGAATGATAGGGCCATTGTAATGGAATAATGAAAACGCTTTCCAAATAGCGGAGTTCAACAACAAAGCGTTTTTTTTACAATGTGCATAGAAATTTTAGACATATCCACTTCCCACAAGCAAATGTGCAAACTAGGCAGCAACAGTGCGACACTAAAAGCAATGTACTAGAAACGGTTAAGTGAAGTGCACATCAAGTGTTAACAGAATTTCGGCGGAGTCTGGTATTCTGTGAACATAGATTTGGAGAACCTAGCAGTCTACACTTCTGTTACAATCCAAAAAGTGCTGTTGAGACTCAGCTTTACTGCAATGGCATGACAAATACGTGCAAGTCTTGCCCTTGGTCGTACAGTATTCCACGTGTGATTCTGCAAAGTAAATTTCAACACGTTTTCAATAAGCATATATGTGCGGAAACATAGACATACTTCTTATACTCCATGTATGATCGAAATTTGTTTGGCAGCTGCTTGTCTTCGGCATTTTGCGGAGAATGAAAAACAGCTTTATTTAAAACATATTCACCTCATACAAAAATGTGAGTGTGGTTAACAGCAGATTAGTTTGTTTTAAAATACGTTTGCAAGATGACCCCAATGTAAATATCAGATTAAAAAATTTAGCGAGATTTTCTCCTTCAAAAGAAAGCATATCCTTGGATACTATCTTTCCTCATTTCCAAAGTAACATAATCACAATTTCTTCTCGTTTAATTTAGAGATTATTATCTTGAGAAGATGGAGACTGTCTATTGAATAATGAATGTTTTTCCTCTGGTGACTTGGATGTCATCATCATGTCGGAAAAGATATAAATGTTGGCATTTAAACTTTAGCTACTATCACTGCTAAACTACATGGCTATAGTTGCTTTGTTAAATGTACGCTACTATAAACAAACTACATCAGCGCCATGAGACAGATATTTAAGATAAGTTTCAGTGCTGCTGGACTTAATTGTAGGATCCCTGTGAGTACTGTGGCCGTGCGATTTTTTTCACATGTTATTATCAGGTCTTCGACAATCTGTGCGTCAGTGGGAAAAGTTGGTAATAGTAAACTCTACAATAAACGACTCCAGCTATCCATACCCGGGACCAAGGTGGATGGCACCTAATAGTAGTTAAATTCATAATTAATATGGGGAAAAGTTCTTACATCATTATTTATGTTGCATGAAAATTGTTGTACTTAAATAAAGTGATTACATGCAACCGTCTTGGAAGATATTTCTTCAGTTCGTTCAAACAACGTACCTAAGAATATGAACTTGACTTGGTTTGTACAAGACGAAATGCTTGAACCAATGAAAATTATTTTTGCACCTGCAGCTCACAGAGCAAGATGGCGTTAGGGTTTGTGTAGGGTGGAATAAATGTCTGCTCTAAAATTTAAGTGTATACTGCTGTTTAATAACTGTATGTTGTGTGTGTTGAAGTGAGCTAGACGGAGTGAAGTTGGTACGAATGATCTGATTTTGTTCTTGGCCGTTGTGTAGATATTGTAGGATTACTTGGAAAATGAGGTAAGTCTGTATATGAAGGTCTAATTCTCAGCAGTGGTCTATGTTGTGATTACTTTTTATGAAAGTAACTTAAGACCTACTACGGTGCCAGTGATGACGCTGACAGGTTTTACTTCAACGTTTAGTAATAGCTTTTCTGTTTTGTGCCGGATTCTTAGGATTCGTAATTTGGTTTTGAGGGTAGAATTAGATTCTTTTCTGTATTGCTGTCAAACAATAGGTCAGTCAACCTGTCTTATACAACAGACGGTCACTTTCATTGCGTTATAGGGACTGGTCGATGCTTTGTTAATCTTAAAGTATGAGGTGTTTTATGAGGCAACTTCAATGTAACTTTTATATAAAAAAATGTTACCTTCTGTTAGGTGGACACAACCTTTGTATAGAGATCTCAATTAAATAAATAGAAATATTAATGTGTTAACATATAGAACTTCTGTTCTATTCTTGCCGAAGTTCTTTATGATTTGAGTGTTAGCAGCATATTCTCTGACAAACCTTGAAGTGGCATTTATCTCAAAACTGTGATGGCTAAATTGGATATTTACAAGGTACATTCTTTTATGCTTTTAGCAAAGCAATTACCAAGAAACTTTTTGACATGTGGTTTGAACATTAAATTTAAACTTCTCAGATTCTGAGTTATCAAGGTTTTCATGCCAATTAATCTGCGGTAAAGGCTTGTAGTTAAGAAACTGCAGTATGTGGAGATCTATATACAGTGAATTCCAAAGCTAGTGTCGTGTCATGGAAGTATACGAACATGAAAGTTTCACTCCAAAGGCAAGAAACTGTGAAGACCATGCACGTATGAGATGCCATTTCTTGTATAAAGTAACCTCTCTTCACAGTTTTGCTGCTGCTAGTCTTCCTATATGAAGCAAGGTGATGCTATATAAAAAACAGTAAAGTGCAGATTTTAGTATGAATTCATTCACCTGATTTAATCTAAGCAAACTATATAAGGATAGTGTAGAATCAAAAACTGAGGGATATTTACTGTAATTTGTCTGTAATGAAAATAAACTCTGAAATATTTGTTAGAATGGCAAAAGAGATAAACACACTGAAGTCCCATGAAGTTCTATATATGTTGAGACGTCATTATTACAAGGTCTTTTGACAAGCACCAAGCAAGCAACCAACCAAACTTTGGGACCAATGGTAGGCACATGTTACTCTTTGCCATGTGCAGAATAATAGGACAGGAATATGAAATATGAAATTTGTTTCTTGGCTGTAATTCTGACATTACACTTTCTCAATAGACAAAACATTTCTTTTAAAACTAAATGTAATTACATTTCTGACTTGTATGTTTGTGGATGTGCTGTGATTGCAGATTTAGTATCATATGAATTAGTTAGCATTTCTTGGTCATCTTGTAAGATATACTCTTAAGTAATTAATGCTATAGTCTTGCATGGTATTACATTTCCTGTTTAAGTAAACTGTTCCCAACACAAAAGTCAGTATACATTTAATAACCTTGTTCAGTTCTTTCCAATACTAGTAGACACTACCTGTCATGTTTGAAAGCAGTTTATTTCTAACAGCATGGGGGAAAAGGTTTTGACATAAAGTGTCCAAAAACATGGAACACAGAAAGAAAGAAAGGTGTTTTGGCATGTCAAAAGAAAGGTACGCTAATCTTCTCTTTAAACTCACCACTGTCTTAGTATATACTTGTATAGGTGATTTTAATGTGCATATAATAAATTATTTTGGAAATCATGAATTTTAGGTGATATGGAAGATGAAATTATTTTTTATTCATTGCCTTTGTGTAGGTAGTCAATGTCCAAGGTACATGGAATTCTTCATATGTGATGGAAACTTAGTAACATTGTTAAGGTCTAAATTACATTACTCTTGCAATGAGACATATGATTTAACAGCATGTGTTTGAAGCAGAATCCTTTATAAGAAAGAAGACTTACAGAAAGTGCATTCAGAGGTTTGTTTGCAAATAAGAATGAGTTCCATGAAGTAGTGTGTACTGAAGCTTGTTGAGAGTGGCAGGCCATTGGAGCGATTGTTTGAGTAAGCAGAATGTAGGAGTGTTGAAAATCCTCATTCCATTCAACAAGTGCCATTATAAAGTATAAAAATAGGGCTGTGCTGTAAATGTGTAGGAAATTATTAGCCCAACATCTTTTCAGGAAACTGTGAGCTCAGATTGGTATATGACCAATATATTAAAGCCTTTCTGTAAACTTGTGACTTTTTCACGTCATTTAGCAGCGTGTAATCACCAAAACGGATACAGCGTCATTCACTAATCTACACACTTGCCAATCTGTAGGACTCAGGTCTACATATCTTAAAGACTTTATATTAATTATGATATAGGAAGATGTAAAGTGATTAATTTAAAACTCTGTCTCATAATTAGGATGGTGTCAAATCAGCCTTGATGAGATGTACAGTACAAGCAGTTTCAGTTCTTTTCACTTTTCAGTATGGCAAAGAATACAAGATAATATTTCCAGGGTATAAATAAAAAGGTTGTATTGAAGCACAAAATGTTATGCTGTATAATTCTTCATATTTAACAGGCAAAGGACTATGTCAGAAGGTGTTTGTATTGAAGCACAAAATGTTATGCTGCATAATTCTACATATTTTTAGGCAAAGGACTATGTCAGAAGGTGCGGTTGCTAACTACACTGAATGCAGTCCAAATTCAGTAACATTTTAAGTGGTTAGGGCTATTTTAATATCTCAAATCTAAGAGTTTGTGACGACGGTGAGTTATTTAAATAAAAATTTTCTATGATGTTATCATCGTCAGCTATACCTGAAGATGGAGATAGAGTCCCATCTCCGAAA